CACATATATATATTTATGGAAGAGTGTTCTTGAAAGTTTATGAGAAAAATATGCTATTGCTATTTTCCTTGTTGTGCTAGTTCACTAAATGCCTCTGTTTTGAACTGATTGTACCCTTTATCTGATTTGTAAAAGTATATCCATTGGTAGGGGATTGGGAGTTCTGGTTTTAAGTGGTTATGGACTCTTCTTGGGGGGCTATGTATGAGAGGGGGACTCCTGAAGTTACATTTTTTGTGAAATGCGAAAGTGACTCTGGGCTCTCAAAGGTTATACCAGTGCAATATAGGCTCTGGTAGATCCTCCCAACCTAGACAATCTTTGAGTATGGATCCAGTGATGGATTGTGCCTGGTTGTTTGAAGATTTAGAGAGGCTTTTTTACCAGCAAGTTGACTACCAGGTGATAAATCATTGCCACTCTTTTGTTTGTTTTTGCCTATAGAAAATCATATCAAATGACTTTTGAGGAATAGAACACCTATACAGGAAAACATTTATAGTAGCTCTTTTTATGGTGGCAAAGGGCTGAAAACTAAGGGGACACAGATCAATTAAAGAATGGCTCAACAAATTATTGTTTATGAATGTGGTGAAAGGCTTTTGTGCCATAAGAGATGACAAAAGCAATGGTACTGGGAAACCAGGGAAATTTATGTGAATTGACGCTGAATGAAGTGAGTGGAGACATGAAAGCACTTTATGCAATAATAACAATATTGTTAAGACAAACAACTTTGAAAGAATTAAGAACTCTGACAAATGCAGTCACTAACCATGACTTCAGAAGACCAGCAATAATCTGTGTTACCAGTCTTCTGACAAAGAGGTGATGGACTCAGAGCGAAGAATGAGAAATCAATTTTTGAATATGGCCAATGTGAGAATTTGTCTGCTTTGCTGCTACAAGGGTTTTGTTTTTCTTATTTTTCCCTAATGCAGTGGGATGTGGGAGGAAGAGAAAATAGATTTTTGTTCAATGAAAAACATTTAATTTAATGTGAAAGAAAAATGACTACTAAGACAGGTAGGAGCTATAATTTGCACTGGTAAAGGGAGCACTAGCACCAATTAAATCAGGGTATCCCTTACCTTCGTCTGATCCTCCTGTGGCATGGTTTTGTGTCTCATTATTTTGTGCTCTCTCTCCTGTGGATGAGCTACAGTATGGTGAAGGACTTCTTAAAATGTGATGTCCAGAAGTAAACACAAGAGCCTAGATATGGACTGATCAGGGCAAAATGTAGAGGCTGTCACTTCCATGGTTTATACATATTTAAACCCCAGAATACACATCAACACCCTTCCCCCCCCCCCACTCCTGGCTTAATCTTCCCCCCTCTGGAAGGAACTTCTTGCTCAATTTCCAAGTCCAATCTATGCTGTGCTAAAGTCAAAGGGTATCTACTATATCCTCTTACTCAGAGTGCAAACTGTCAAATCTCCATTCAGAAGCCACTTTGTGTTTTGGGAGTTTCTTCCTGCAGAACCAAAATGAAAAGTAGTAACCCTGGCATCTTTCCCATAAGATCTTGCATGGCATTGAATTGTCTCATATGGGTTACCAGAAGACTATGCTAAAATAGAATGGAGGAAGACAGCATGGTACTATGGAATGAATACTGTCTCTAAAGGCTGACCTGTGACCTTGGGCAAATTGCTTCCTGAATCTCAATGTCCTCATCTCTAAAGTGACAGGATTCCAGCTCTAGATCTGTGATACTATGACTTCAACTAGTCACCACATAGTGGATAGCCTCTTTATCCTGTTACCATTCGAATGCTCTCATACACTATATGAGGCAGGTTATACAACAGGCACTCCAAGCTAATCATCTGAAAATCCTACTGGTGTAAAAACAACCCAGACTTCAGAACGCATGTTGAAGCAGGTAGAAAGCGTTTTCTCCTTATGCTTAGCTGGCACTTAACCTATACATTTGAAAATAACATTTCCCCCACAAAAATCAAAACCATGTGGTCTAGTGGTTGGAGATTGGATCTAGACTTAGAAGCTCTGTTGGACTGTTTGTTTGTTTGTCCTGTGCTCTTGCAAGTCTCTTAAAATGCCTTACTTCCATCTCCCCAACTGTGAAATGGAAATAATGTCTACATCCCAAGGGTCTCGAGGCTTACTGTTAGTGAAGTGCTTTAGAATCCTCTGATGAAAGGCACTCAGAGAGTTCAAAGCTGCTGTATTAAGATAGGTTTATCATATATATAAAGAAGTAAGTCCTTTTCATCATGTAAAATGATTCCCTCTAACTTCATTCCCTCCACAGACAAAAGAAGCCTCAGACTTTAGATCCCATTGACTTAACACTGTGCTCCAGCTGTTTACATGCATGAAACTCTTACCATCCCCTTTTGATTTGCAACATCCACAGAGCCTAGGACAAAAGAACGTCCTCCTGTTCACAAGTCGTGACTCATGTGAAAATTGAAACTTCATGCTTCTTTTTATTAAGGGCCTCACTTTCTTTCTGTGGGTTGGAATAATTGGGGGAGGGAGAAGATAAACACAGTAAAATAAACATGAGCAATATATTAGTCAGTAAAATAAATCTGGATCAACTGTTAACAGGCAAACCTAGTGAGGCATAATGGTATAATGGAAAGACCACTGGACCGAAGATCAGATGACCTGAGTTCTACTTTAGCTCCATCAGTAACTAGCAATGTGATCTTGGAAAAAATTACTGAACCTTTCTAAGCCTCAGTTTCCACAACTCATCATAGATGATAGATTATTGAGCCATAAAGGACCCAACATATGGTCCCATCTAATCCTCTCATTTTACTTGTAAGGAAACTGAGTCCCAGAGTAGTTAAGTGGCTTCTCAAAGATTTTTTAGAAAGTGAACAGTGGAGCTAGGATTCAAACCCAAGGTTTATGCTCTTTCCACTACATTAGGAGGAACCTGTCTCCTTTTACAATTCCTTAGGGTTGTTGTGAGGATCAAAGGAGAAAATGTTTGTGAAGGCACTCTGAGGACAAGAAAATATTACAGAAATTCTTGATGACTAAACTCTAAGAACCAGTAAGAGAAGGACTTCATCATCTAGAGTAATTTGTCTTCTGCTCACAAACTCCATGGAAAGAAGCCCGGTTAAATTTCAGAGCTTGTCAATCAAATCTTAGGTTCTTGCACAGGGCGTAGGGTATATTTGGTGGTGGGGCCACTGTTATTTATATAAGGAAGCTTAACACATCAGTATGAGTCAAAGTCATTTTTCCTGCTTTTCAAAAGGCAATGCTTTTCTAGAACCTATTTGTTTTTCCAAGAGGCACATGCCATTTTTACAACATTGACATTGACATTGAGTTCCTTAGATGCCTTCCTGGTCCTTCTGAGACTATTAGACTAGTCTGAAGCTACATACCACCCAAACAACCAGTTAGTTAATCAATTCAGTAGGAAGATGTACTATTAATAAAATCTCATCATGGCATAGAGGATAATCCCTGAAAATTCTAGTTATGTGTGATCATGGGCAAGTGACTTAACTTCTCTTGAGTCTATTTTTTCCTCATCTGTAAAATTCACTCCACTTTGCATCTGCTGCCCTCCTGATTTCAACTCCATTGAACAAAACGCTCACCCAGGATAGGCTCATCACTTCTAAACTCACCACCAGCCTTCTAACCCAAGCCTTAATTGACACCGCCTCCCTCAGCCTCTTCTCCCCTGTGATTGGATGGCTAAAAAGTGGATCACCAAAGTCCCCCCAAATGCCTTTCTTCACAGAGCAGAAACCGGACTCTCAGCTCACACCGCTTTGTATCTCTTGCTCGATGCTATGCTGGGTATCCCCAAGTGTTCCTCTCCCTTGTTTTCCTGCCTCCCTGTATGTGTTGTCTCCCCCTCCCCTTTAGATTGTAATCTTCTTGAGGGCAGAGGCTATCTTTTTATTAACTGTATTCTCAGTACTTAGTACAGTACCTGGCACGTAGTAGGTACTTAATTGATGTTTATGGGATTAGGATCATAATATTAGTTGTGCCTCAAGAAGTTCTTGTGAAACTCAAATTAGATAATGTACATAAAGTGCTTTGCAAATTGTAAAGTACATAACTGAAATCCCGTCTCATATACTTTCTAGTGGTGTGATCCAGGTCAAGTTCTGTAACTTCTCTCTGCCTCAGTGTCTTTAATTGTAAAAATGGGGATAGTAATAATACCTACCTCCTTGGGTTGCTCTGAGGATAAAATGAAACCTATTTGTAAAGTGTTTTGCAAATCTTAAAGTACTACATAAGTGCTAGTTATTATATATAAAAGGTCTCTGTTAATACTTTAGTGGATTGTGAAGGGGACCCTTGGTTCTTTTATTTTTCTTTATATTTCTTTTTTAATGCTGTATTTTTCAAAAGAGCATCAATAGAACATTAATGACTCTCAATGACCCTCACTCCCTCATAGAACCTTTTTTTGTAACAAGTAAATACAGTTAAGCAAAACAAGGTGAAAAATACAATAGTTTGGAGTTCAGAGAACCTGGGTTCGAATCTTGCTTCACATGATTACAATTTGTATGACCTTGGACAAATGATGATCTCTTTGGATCTCAGCTTATTCATCTGCAAAGTTAGAAAGTTGAATTAAATGGCCTCTGAGGTCTCTTCCAGCTCTAGATCTATCATCCAATGACCCCTTGTCCATGTTTAAAAATATATTCCTTATTCTACAACCATAGTCCATCACCTTTCTGCCAGGAGGCAGAAGGCATTCTTCATTGATGGTCCTCTAAAGTCACTATCGATGATTGGAGTAATTAAAGCTCTGACATTTTCAGTGCTAAGATGGTAAGGCATGGATAGGTTGTATTTTCTGTAACACAGATGGAAGCATCCAAATCAATAAGACCATTGATTTCTTTGAGGATGGTGATAATCATGAATTTTGTTCTGCTTTTCTTTCATTCTGCATCAGTTCAAATTTCTCTAAATTCTTCATATTGATTACTTCCTAAAATTCAATACTATTCCATTACATTTAGGTACTACAGTTTTCTCAGCGATTCCGTGATCAAAGGGCATCAGTGATTTCTGGCTAACGTCATTTGCCATCAGCTCCTCTACTCGGTTTTGACTCCACGAACATCATGCCACCAAACCAGGTACCCCCTTGTGTCACTCCTTCTCTCTAGCTATTATCTTACCCTATCAGATTGTAAGCTTCTTGAGGTCATGACCTGTCTTTCTTTTTCTTTATCTCTAGGGCTTAGCACAGTGTGTGACAAATAGCAGATGGTTAGTAAATATTTATTGACTATTGCATATACATGGGAACTTTCCCTTTGTTTTTATCCTTTTAAGATTTACACACACACACACACACACACACACACACACACACACACACACACATAAGTTTATTGACTCTTTTTTTAGTATATTTTCCATTGTTTTCCAGAACAGATAAGTCGGGTCTTACCTCCACCAACAACGTATCCCTTCTATGGGGAATGAAATGAAATCTTAGAGTTGTTTTAATCTGTGTTTCTCTTAGTAGTGACTTGGCACATTATTTCATGTTTCATGATTTTTTGATAGCTTATTTTTTGTCTTTTGAAACTGCCTGTTCATTTACTTTGGCCACTTATTGGTAGGGACATGGCTTTTATTTTTATATATTTGTATTAGGTTCCTAACATGTCTTGAATACTATACCTTCATCAGAGACATTTGCTACAAAGTTTATTCACCAATTAACTACAGCTATTCTAATTCTAATCACATTAATGTTATTGGCACAAAAGTTTTTCAATTTTATAATAATCAAAATTGCCAGGTTTATAGTTCTGAATACCTCTATGCTTTTGATATTATTTCTCCCACTAGCTAGTTATGAAAGATTTCTCTAATTTTTAAAAATTGATATGATCTTTTATATTTAGACTATGTATTTGTTTGCCACTTATTGTGGCACATACTGTTAGATGTTGGCCTAAACTAATTTCTACCAAATAGCTTTCCAATTTTTCTATTCGGTTTTTGTTAAAAGTAGAATCAGCTTTACAACGACCAACATAGTTAATCATGGAGAGCCTCAACACCAGTAGGCAGCCACAAAATCATGAATTATTTGGCCTTGAGAGCCCCTGAAAAAAGAAAAATACAAAACAGATCTTAGTTCTCTATAGACCTTTTCTACAGTGAGATTGTCAGAACTGTGGAAAGAAGTGCACAGGGTGTTAAGAATTATAATGACACCTATAAACATTAACTTCAATGCTGGTACTCTAAAAGAACATTATCCAATAACTCACACTTAACATACTGCTAGAGGAACTAAAATGTTAAGAATATTGACATTCTTGTTAAAATCAGAAGATTAGAAAGTTGTGTCTAACTTGATTACTCTCAAGTTCTCCTTGGAAAAGCAAATAAAGAAGTTGTTTTTGTTATCTGTCCAAAGGTACCAAGGATTATCCTTTGATGGAACACTTGGCCATCCTGCATTGCATTGATGAGAAAAGCAAAATGGCTTATGTACATATGCTCATTGCAGAGGATCTGGAAGTTTATAAACAATATACTTTGGTAAAATATGACATTAGTGCAAATGTGAGCATAGGTAAAGATGACCAAAAAAAAAAAACCAAACCACATTGGAAAGTATGTCTGAGGGTCCAGAAATGAAAGAGGTCTAAAAGTTTGTGGACTATACAGAAGACTTAATATCATAAATATTTTCTTCAACAAAAGAGTGGGATGTAGTAAATATGGCAAACAAAGATTAACATCATAAAATGAAATTTACTGTATCTTAACAGTCAGGAAAATAATTAGTTATCAAATGTGGGAGTTTTTATACAGACCATCAACTTGTTAGAGCAAAGAACAAAATCAATACCAAATAATAGCAATAAAAATAAGATATGGCACGCAACCAAATAAACAATTAGTAAATATGCTGTCTCTCTGTCTCTCTTTTTCTCTGTCTCTCTTTCTCTGTCTCTGTGTGTGTATGTGTGGTGTGTGTCTCTCTCCAATATCTTGTTCTAAATTACTTTCTTTGCTCTGGGGAATTAAAAACAAGATAAAAGCAAGCAAACTCTTAATAACCTAAGATTTGGGGAACAGGCACATCTCTCTTGGGAAGGGAAGAGAAAAAGAGAGAGCCACAAAACAAGATTTTCTTAGACATGCCTCAGAATTCACAATAGTGATCTCATTTCAATGGTTCTGCTTCCCCTTCCATGGTGTTGATCTCCACAGCCTCTGTTCTTCTAGTCTCCCATACCACTGCTTGTTGGGGCTACTTTCCTGAGTTACCTGTGACTTTGCTGCTTCTCTACTGCCCATCTTTCCTCTGCTTCCATTTCATACATGCTCTTCTTTATGGCTTTCATTCTCTGTCTCCTGTAGGATTGAAAAGCTAGCTTGTCAGTCAAGTCTGGCCCTATATAGTCACAGGGTCAAAGCAGATCTCCAAGGGGTTGAGAAAGGAAAAAATGATAGTCAGGATGTCTGCCTTAAACAAGCATTCCTTTCTAATGTCCAAATCTCATTGGCAATTGTAAGACAGTGCTACAAATATAAACTCATCTGCAGGAGATTGTAGAAGATTGTAAACAGTATTGCCTCATAAAACTCAGGAGATGCTATAACAAAAAATGAGCTTATTGAAAGTTTAGTATGAGATCTAATAAAGCCAAATTATTCCCATGACATTAAAGGCTAAAATTGGAAACAGAGTAAAAAACAGACAAAAAATGGAAAAGATCTGTCATGATTTCTATATCAAACAATTTTTTCTATCAATGATAATTGAACCACCATATTTGGTCTCCCCATGAGGAAGTAGAAATGGCACAAAAGAAAACAAAGATGGAGAGCACAGCTGGACCAGATCAAGTGTATATGGAGGAGGTTCATGCTGAAGGTTATATAATTTTGAAAACATTGAGGGATTTGTTTTTGAAATATAGGAAGTAGAGCTCAAAGGCAACTTTATAGGCCGTTGAAATATAGCCTTTTTTAAAAACACAAATAAGGACTCCTAAACTGCTAAAGGTTAAATGATTTGCTCAGTGTCACACACAGATAGAAAGTATCTGAGTTGATTTTCTAACTCAAGTCTTCTTGACTTCAAGGCCGGCGCTCTACTGCTGTCTCAACTCTCTACCCATCTGCAAGAACATAAAATTTTAAATATTAGGAAAAATAATGGGTGATATTGATATCAAAAGAGGATAATTGGGAAGAAGTCAATAACTATAGAACCATATTCTTATTTTCTCATTGTTTTATGGGAATCATCTATATACATATAGAGAATACCCTTGCTAAAAATATGAGAAAGGAATAAAACAGTTTTTTTGTTTGTTTTTGGCAAATGCTATTCTCTAGTATACTACATCTTTTTGGTTAGACAAATGACTAAAAGATTCTGAGAATACAGACTTCCACTGTATTTATTGTTTGCTGAATATGATAAAGTAGCCAACTCAGCCCAAAATGCTTTCTTAAAGACTCTCTCCTCCAACAATGTATCTTCATGTAATCACCTAAGATTCCTTAATAGGCACAAAAATGTGTTTAACAAACCGTGCTTATTTTACATAATGAATAGAAAGCTGGTTTTCAGGATCAGGAAGAATTGGGTTTAAATTCTACTTCAGATCACATTTGATCTGTGGTCTTGGTCAAATCACTTAACTTCTCTATGTTGGATGAGTCTTTAGGACTTTAAATTGCAGTTGCTTCCCTGAATCCTGGAGAAGAAGTAGTCCTCATTGGGAGAATCTAAAAACTGATCAGATCATAGATCACGATCAGAAAAATTCTTCTGGTGATGCTCTATGACTTAAAATCACGGAATATTACACTTCCCAGGGAATCACAATTGTAGGTCACCCACAACCTCCTCTTCTACACATTTTTTATCTATTTATTTATTTTTGGCTAGGCAATAGGGTTAAGTGACTTGCCCAGGGTCACACAGCTAGTAAGTGTTATGCATCTGAGGCCGGATTTGAACTCAGGTACTCCTGACTTCAGGGCCAGTGCTCTATCCACTGCGCCACCTAGCTGCCCCACAACCTCCTCATCTAAAGATGAGGAAATGTCAATTATGATCTCTAGAATTAATAGCACAGGGTTTCAGATGAGGCTATAGAAATGTTAGGAATACATCACAATATAGCTTAAATCATCTTTTCATTTTAACTACACAGCAACGATGAATTGTGCACACAAAGTGGTATAGCTAGTATTAAAGAAATATGTGACTGGAAAAGGAGTGGGCTAGTCATAGATATGAGAGGCATGAGGGATAGTAGGTAGTCACAAATTTCTCTTTTCATTCCTTCTAGCTGTTCTAGTCAGATCTTGTATGTACCCAGTTATTTACTTATTATCTCCCTGTCATTAGAAGTAGAATGTTCCATGAGAACAGAGGCTATTAACACTTCCCATCTGTATTAACTATCACCCAAAGTCATGAAGAAGAAGGTGATCCAATGAGCTCTTTCCATTTTTGGTTTTCACATTTCCTGATGTGATACATGTCGTGTATCTGGTAAAGAAAGAATTTGAGATTATTGATTACACGTTGCATGCAGGGCACTTTAACATTTCCTTGGGATTCGAGGAATAAGAACAAAAGAAAATTGAGATTCATTTGGCAGCACTTAGTATGAAGATTTTTTTTATGGTATTCCCAGTGTTTATCAAAATGCTAAGCACTTAATAAATGCTTATTGATTGAATTGCTATTGCATTGGAATGTCAAATTCCAAATCAGGAAGAAGGCCCTTGGCACACTGGAGGACTTCTTGTGGAAGACTTATGGGAAGACATGGAAAACAGTCACATACAATTAAAAGGGCAAAGATTAGCCAATGGAGAAAGCACCCAGATCCGTTAAAGAAAAGAATTGTTAAATAGATGAAAAACCTGACATTTAGAGACATTAAACAGCTTGACCAAGGTTGTATCCCTTGTAAGTATAGAGATGGACTTTGAACCCAAGTCTTGTCACACTAATTCTAGTACGCTATTATCCCAAATCCTAAATGTGATGAAGACTTGCCACTGATTGAGGCTAGAACAATAAAAATATATAAATAAGCTTTAGATATGCTGTTCTTGTAAATATTAGCAGTGAGAAGACAATGGGGCATGAAAATATGAACATAAGTTTGATATTCTCCACTTGGACTAGCAGTGTGCTGGTGAAAATGAGGAGGAAGTTGAGCTTTTTGAGAAACTTAAGGCATGAAGCCCCAAGAGTGAGTGAGCAAATAATGAATGAATAAATGAATGAAAAATATTTACTAAGTACTTACTATATATCAGACACTTTGCCAATGCTGGGAATACAAATACACAAAGTACGATTGTCCCTGCCTTCAAGGGGTTTATATTCCAGCAGGGGAAGTCAATATATATGATGAAATCTTTTGGCTGGGGAAGTCAAAGGGACGGTGAGAAGAGTCATACTATACAGTAAGGGTTCTTAACTTGGGGTCTACAGACCTCTAAGGGGCCCATGGATGGATTTCAGGGAGTCTGTGAACTTGGATGGGAAAAATTTATGTTTTTATTTTCACTAAACTGTGACTGATATTTAGCATTTTCTTCAATTATTCTGAGAAGGGGCCCGTCGACTGCACTATCCTGCCAAATGGGTCTGTGATATACAAAAAGGTTACAGACACCTGCTATGGATCAATTGATAGGCACGTTCTTTCTAAGAATGACAGTGTTGGTTTGATTATTGTTATTAAGGCAGGAGATGGAAGTGAAAGAGATGGCCAGAAGTCACCTCCCTGGTGGTACGGTGGGGTGGGTTAGCCTAGAAACAGCAAAGGCTGTCCAATCAGAAACCAAGGGCCCCAAGAAAGCAGTTCAACTGTCTGATTGGAGGTAGATGATGGTGTATAGGTAAGAACATGACATAAAGATGGCCAGGGAGCTGTGGATCCCAGCTTAGACATTTGTCCTGGGCTTTGCCAAATATTTTTCTGAGCTGTGTATGAGGTATGGGAGATTCTAATTTAAGGATATTTTGTGAGCAGAATCTAAAAAAGCTTTCAAGTTGACATTCTATTGACTGTAAGGACAGTACTTTTGACCAGAAACCAAGAAATGGATTTGAGACTTATATAGAAAAGATTGGACTTTTTCACAGGATCATAGAACTAGAACTCAAAGTTACTTTAGAAGCTCCAAACCCCTTATTTTACAGATGAGAAAAGTGAGGCTTAGAAAAATTAAGTGACTTGCCCAGGGTTAAATAGCTCATAAGTGTCTGTGATGAGATTTGAAAGCCAGCTCTCTACGACTATTCAGTTCTCTATTGTTGTTGTTGGTGGTGTTTGTCCTTTGTTCTTGAAGAAGGGCCAAGGACATCAAGTGAATTGGATGTAAGTGAGGCAGAGCTGTTCAAAGTGATCAGCCCCCTACTCTTTTCCAGAGTCATTGGAATCTATTGGCAAGACAGGTCAAGATGACTGGTAATGGCCCTGGCTGCAATGACCTTTTCAAGCTAAGGTCTTTCCCAGGTCTCAGTTTGTCTAAGGCAATGCCCATTCAATGATTAAGGGCTATGTTAGAATTGAGACAAAAGATGGCCTAGTTTGCCACTGAAAAAGAATCAGTCTGGGAGGGGGAAATCCTCAGAGTTTGTGGTCAGAACAGAAACAATTGCTATTTACACTCATTGTGCTATATTGCTTCTTTGGTAAAAGTTCTATACTACTACTGGGATGGAGCATGATATCACCATAAAAAACTTTGTAAAATGATTTAATCTGGGTCAAGATAAGTAAGTAACGAGACAGAGCTTATACCAACATTCTTTGAATATATTTGATTTTTTTGTTTGTTAGTTTTTGGCATTCTGACATTTGCCTGAAATAGTTTTTGCATTGTAAATGAATA